GTAACATCCTTTCACCTTTCTCTGTATATGTGTTGTATAAGTTATGTTTGTATTCAAGAGCATGTCCATCTTTAATCTCGTCCACATACTTGTTTTATTCATAAAAGTGTCTGACACCTCTCTTTCCTATGTATGTGTGTATATCAACTTTTTGATACATTTTTTCTTAAGTAGAAAACATGTTCGTATTGTTTAAATCTTTCTCCTATGTATAAAACATGTTGTATAATTCTTATTATTACGATTGTTATGTAGGCTAAATTTAAACATCGTTATATATGTTTTATAGATATGACAAGTAACAGTGCACCAAACAATGGTGGTGCATCATCATTTTCTCAAAAGAGATAAATATTTTTTTTCACTGTCGTTTTTACTTATTTTAAAAGTATATTTGAAATTATTTTTGATATATTTATTTTGTGCTATAGATTAATATCAAGTGGACTGATGAAATTTCTCGACTGTTCATAGAGTTGTATTTAACTCAACTTGATAAAGAAAATTGGATAGACAAATTTTTAACAAAAGAAGGTAAATTAAGTGTGAGGACTAGCTTTAAAGAAGCTACTGGGCTTGATTTAGCATGGAAAATTTTTGCAAATCATCATCGTAATTTAAAAACATGGTACGATTGTTACAACCGTCTATGCAAATTCGCTGGAGTAGCTGTTGATCATAACACGTGAATAATCATCATGGAAAAAGAATGGTGGAATGATCGAATTCAAGTAAGTCTATTAATATTTTTTAAATTTTAAAATTTGAAAGGTTAGCATATATAGGAAAACGAGGTGGCTAAAAGATTTCGTAAGAAACCTTTGGCAAATAAAGATCTCTTGGAAAAATTGTTTAGTGTAACTCATATAGGAGTTGAAGATGGATGGTCGGTTGGGAATGGTCCTGATGTATATCATCCTCAACATGGATATGGGTTAGTGGAGCAATTTGATATAAACACATCATCTTTCATCGAAGATCCAGACACGTCTTTTTCTACTCCATTAGACAGACAAACTCAAAATATGCAGTCAACACCAACACAAACTCAAAACATGCAGTCAACACCAAACACCGCTAATCCACCTCTTGATGAAAGAGCTCAACCTGATCACCAAAATAAACGTAGACGTGGAGCATCAAACAACGATAATCAATCTAATTTATCAAAAGCTTTTCGTGAACGATCGGATGCTATAAAATCAGCAGCATCAGGGATGTCATCAGCTTTAACATCTGACGTAACCATGGCTGCATGACGGCTACACCAAATATCAGAGATTGAATTTGGCACATCATTTTATTAGGATGCTACTAAGTTACTTTCTGAAGATGAAGTTGCTCGGAGATGGCTTATAGGAATTCCTGAAAACAAGTCCGCGCTTCTTTATTTGGAGCAAATGATTGGCCGTAAACATGACGAATAATCATCAAAAAGATAGAATTGGTTTTTACTAGGACTTTTTAGAAAAGGGGAGGGGTTTGAAAGTATTTGCTTTATTTTAAATTTTTATCTAGTGCTTTGTTGAATATTTGATTAATTTTCAATTATTTAAGTAGTTATGAACGTTATATAAAACTTGATTTTTAAACTATTTGTTGTTTTATTTTAATTATTTTTATTGTTCTTTACATACAGATAATACAACTGTTTTGGTAAATGGTTGATGATGGCGGATTCTCAATTTGTATCACATTTAATAGATGACTCTACAACAACAAATATTGTTCGGCAACCATTGTGTGCACATCCAGACCGCGGTCGTCAGTTGGTAGTTGACCGAATTCATGGTCATCCAGAACAATGCCATTTTATTTTGAGAATGCGTCCAGGAGTATTTCTTGATCTATGCGAAACCTTGGAAAAGAAATACAAGATGAGACCATCTCGAAACATGATTGTGAAAGAAAGTGTGGCGATATTTTTATATATTAATTGTGGTCACAATGTCACTCAACGAATCAACATGAGAATGTTTGGACATTCGCAGGAGACTATATCT